TACACCCTAAACCCAGCGAACGGTATGGCATCTTGGGCACGCCGCCGGTCTGGAGAGTGGTCTGGAGGGTACCTGATACTCTCTGATAGAAGGGAATCCTCTTCTTGAGGCGTAACCCTAAAGTGCCCTTAAAGGGAAGCCTCTCACGGAACCCTCGAGGTGCCCCATTAAAGGGGGGACCTTCTTTCAGTCCCAGAGGGTCCATGGTGGCTTTGACCCAGGCTGCGCCCCGTGATCTTACCCTAAATACCCACTATTAAGGACCATAAGGGCTCTATTAAAGGGTACTTGGGGGGTGCTGGTAAACCTCAAAACCTAGGCCCTAACCCCAAAACCCAAAAGCCTATAGACCCTAGGCCCGAAGCCCAAGAACCTAGACCCTAGGCCCGAAACCCAAAAACCTAGACCCTAAACCCCAAGACCCGAAGCTACCTAAAGGAGACCATGGGTTAAAAAAACCTAAGCCCTAAGCCCTCAACACCTACACTCTTATAGATCCCTTATGGGAAACCCTTTAAAAGGGAGCCCGAATATAGAACCCTATTCTAGAACCCTTATAAAGGAACCCTGTTACAGAACCTTAGTATAGAAACCTTACGGGCTCTTAGGGTTCCGTTAAAGGAGCTCTTACAGGAACCCGTAAGAGGGAGCCCTAAGCTACCCCGAGAACCCAATACCCCTTGATTAAGGAATATACCTTAAATTATAGGGGGCCTTAACTTAATATTATGATTTAAGGTATATTCCTTAATTAAGGGATATTGGGTTCTCTGGCTACCCTAAACCCTACATCCTAAACCCGAAACCCCGAAGGATACCATGGGTGCCAACATGCGACTGGGCGCCAGATGGGTGGAGTTCACAAAGCCCGAGGAGTCCTTGGCCTCCGCTCTCTACGGCATCTCGTCCTATATTCATAAAACATAATACAGTATTGCAAAATAGAGTGTAGCATAGTCTGGTATAAGTAGAGTCTAATAGTATAGTATAGAAAGTGTAGTATAGTCTAGTGCAGTATTCGTATAGTATTTCTGCGCATCTGACTTGTGGCAGTTCGCTGTTGATTGAAGCGGTATGTGTGTTTCGCTAGATGCATATATGGATGCATACATGAACCTGCGTATATGGAAGTACATAATTCGGACCTAATCAGGACTCATCTGTTCTTGCATTTCTACCAGGAATGAATGTGACACTTTCAGACTACCCGTCATGAACAGGTGGCGCGAATCGGGTCCACGAGCGACACAGACACCGCGGCTTGGCATGAAACCCTAAACTCTAAGGCTCTACGCCCCAAAATCCCGAGCCCCGAACCATACCTATAGTCTCCATTGT